GTATCCCTACGGCTCTCAGCCTCTACAAAATGATATACAAGTCTAGAATCTAAACATAATCAACTAACTGTGGAGTTCTGACTAACTACTACATAATAAATAGCTATGTGAGAACTATGCAGAAATCTCATCAACCTGCGACTCTCCGTGCGCTGGACTCGCTGCCTGGAAGGGGGAAAAACAACGAGCGTCAAAGCGCTATAGCGAGAACATCTCCACCTCTCCCTAGGGGAAGGGGTAGGAGCGTATAGAAAATAAAGTTAGTACATATACATATGAAATCATTCATAAAATTTTAATTGGAGACTAGTATTTAGGAATCCACAACACGAGAGTTAGTAAGTCGAACGAAATAATCCAAACAAGGAAACCCTCATGTGTATATACCATGTCTTAAATTGTGACTCCCTAAATACTAATTCTAAACTCTATAAATGAACAACAATAAACAAATAGATAGTACTCCAAACCTCAAACTTGTAGAACAAATATCTCATCCTGATCTACACTTGGGTAGATGGATCTAACATAAAAGGAACTCGTCAAACAAAAGCCAACCAAATACCATGTTGTGTAAGTCACGGTCTCAGAGAAATCACCCTACTCACAGGTATTCAAAAAAAATGGAAACCAATTTATAAATTATATTACATACAAATGTGCATCTCTTATACATTAGCGATACTCTTATAATATTCTTACTCAATCACTCTGTGGCAATAGGTTTTATCTCCCTATCCCGGAAACATAATATAATGATATTTTTTAATACTCTTACTCAATCGCCCTACGGAAATAGGTTTCATCTCGCTATTTCAGAAACATAATATGACGATACTTTTGTAATACTCTTACTCAATCGTCCTGCGAAAATAGATTTCATCTCCCTATTCCGGAAACATAATATTTACGTATTTTTCTTATTTATCATGTTAACACATCATATTTTAAACATACATGTACATATCTTGGTGTACGTGTCCATATCTGGTGTTTACTGACATTTCAGATGTTAAACAGCTTATAAACATTTTATCATAACAGTACAAGGTCGAGAGACTAGCTCGAAAACTCAATAGTCGAACAAAACACGGACAAGGTCACAGACTGTGTAGTGGTCGACCGCATAAGAACGACGGTCGACCGTGATGGTTGCAGAGCCTACGCAGGCCTCTGTCCTGTACGTGGTCGACCGCTGCTGTGGTGCGGTCGACCGTGGGCTGATATTCCAGATTCTTAATCTGGTTGTGTGTGTCGTGTTTACGCCATGTTTAGGTGATTCAAACATGATTAAAACGACATAAAACTTGCATGAGAGCATGTCTATAGTAGATAAAAACTTCAGGAAACAAACTCAACATATATAGCATGATTATTTGCATAAAATTTATATTCAAAACCCTAAGTTACGCATAAAAACTTAAAACGAAGAATAAATCATCTTTCTTCAGATTAAACCACGTTTTAAATTATTTTCAGCTCTTACACACTTCTGTAAATTTGTTCTCAAACTTTTTAACATGGAAAGACCTAGTCTTTATACATATAATACAAAAGAATTGACTTTTATTCATAAACTAGTCAATTTGGCTCTACAAAACATATTAGAAACTCTTTAAAAACGTTTTAAAACTACAAAACATATTAGAAACTCTTTAAAAACGTTTTAAAAACTAGGAGGGGGATTAGCAGAGATGAACTCGCCTGAAACTTGTAGAAAAACATTTTATGATGCCAAGCCAAAGCAGATCTCCAATCCAAAAGCCAAAATCACCCGAAAAATTCACTTGAAAGCCTCCAATATTCTCCAAGAATCAAAGTAGGGTTTGTGGGGGTTTGGTTGCTATTTGGGTTCTTAGAAAACTGAGAAAATTCGTGAAAGTTTGATATATAAACTATTGAAAATGAATATAGGCTTTAGAAAACCAAAACCAACTCAAAACAGGAATCTTACTTCTACAGGTTTCGCGGTCGACCGGACTGTGGTCGACTACGACGGTCAACCGGACTAAAATTTTCCAGCTACACTTATTTAGCTATTGTGCATATTTCAACTTTTTTTTCTCATGAATGAACTTGTTTATACTCAAAACACATGGTATACTACTCACATACCATTTAACTGTATTTATCAAAATAAATATCCAAATCATAACTAATCTCATATTAATTATATTAACATAAATTTTTGGGGTTTTACATTGCTGGATATGTCTTTGATTTCAAAGTTAATGACTAGAAATCTGTTAACATTGTAATATAATGCAAATCCAATAAATGCAGCATCAACTGTCTTAGATCTTATTTTCCTCTTCTTAGGTTCGGGAATAGCTACCTTAGCTAAGCAATCCCAAACGCGGAAGAAGTTCAATCTAGGAGTTCTCCCCTTCAAATATTCATAAAGAGTTATATCAGAAGATTTGTGGGGAATCCTATTAAGAATGAAGCAAGCATAAAGAATAGCTTCACCCTAGAGATTTTTAGGAGCTCCTGAACTGAGTAACATACAGTTTACCATGTCTATAAGGGTTTTGTTCTTTCGTTCAGCTACCGCGTTAGACTGTGTTGTATAGGGAGCAATTACCTCAAGAATAATATCGTGCTCTTGGCAATACTCAGTCATTTCATTTGAGGTATACCCCCCCCCCCCAGATCTTAAAATCTTGAATCTTCTTTTGAAGTTGGTTCTCAGATTCAGCTTTATACACCTTAAACTTATCTAAAACTTCATTCTTAGTTTTGAGAAGATAGGTGTAACAATATCTGAAGTGATCGTCTATAAATATCACAAAATATCTCCTACCCCCTCGGGTGAGAACTTGGTTCGAGTCACACACATCACTATGAATTAATTCAATATCTCCTACCCCCTCGGGTGAGAACTTGGTTCGAGTCACACACATCACTATGAATTAATTCGAGGGTTCGGAGTTTCTCGTTATAGACTTGAAGGGTTTCTTAGTGTGTTTCCCTTGAACACAAATCTCACTTAGATGAGGGATCATGAGATGAGTTAGGAATGAGATTCAATTTAATCATTTTTTGCAAAGTTTAAAAATTTACATTTCCAAGTCGTCCATGCCAAACATTACAAGATTCAACAATTTGCGCAACAGAAGATTTATGAATTTTATTAGAACTGGAATTGATTACATTGAGCTTTAAAAGGCCATTACAAATAAAACATTTTTCAATAAATATATTATTCTTTGCAATCATAAATTTATTAGATTCTTTTACAATTCTAAAGTCAGCTCTAAGAAGAAGAGATTCACTGATCAAGTTTCGGTGGTGAGAAGGAACATGATGAACGCCTTGCAGATTTAGAGATTTTTCATAAGTCATGGTGAGCTTTATGCATCCACTTCCTATTATTTATTTAGTGGAGTCATCTGCTAAGCTTATGCTTCCTCCACGTAATTCCTGGTAAGTTGAAAACCAAGAGCAATAATTACAAACGTGAATATTAGCTCCAGAATCCATGTACCAATCAGTGGAAGAAGTAAGAGAATTTACAAGATAGAATGAAGATGTTAACTTGAACGAATTTGGATTTTCTTCAATCATATTTACTTTGTTAGATCAATTTCCTTTTGGAGCAGGTTTTACTGGCTCTTTCTTCTGATAGAAGCAGTTAGGAGCCAAGTGGTTGGTTCTACCATAGACATAGCACAACTTTCCATCAGACTTATGGCTGGAAGAATTGGGATTTGATTTGGAAGATGGTTTATTGAATGATTGCTAGTTTTTCTTGAATTTCTTCCCTTTGGGTTTGAAATTCTTAGGTTTAGACTTGTCCTCTACCAAGTTCACTTTAGCTTTTATTTCAGTCTTGGTTTTAAAATTTTGTCTATGCTGGTCTTCAATGCAAATAGCCTTGAGAGCTTTAGTTAATGTTAGATCTCTTTGCTTGTGTCAAAGATCTCTAGCAAATCTAGACCAGGAAGGAAGAGTTTGTCAATTAGATAGGAAACTTTATAATCATCAGTAAAGGTGTTTCCTTTTAATTGGAGGTGACAAATGAAATATTGGAATTCGTGAATTTCTTCATTTATAGGTTTGTTATCAACCATCATGAACTTATTAAAGGAAGAGGATGTGAAACGTAGAATTCTGGCATCATCAAAGCCATATTCTACATCAAGAGCATTTCATAGGTCTTTAGCACTTTTGACTCATAATAACTGTCATAAAGGTTGTTCGCAAGTGCACTTAGGATCTTATGGCAATAGTGATAGTTTATATCTTCCGTTAAAACGCCCCGTTGAATCCAAGCCATGTTTGCTAAATTCGCGCAGCCATTTGAACTTCCCGTAAAACTCAGCACACATTCTCCAAAACGTGCGCACGATCTAGCTGAGGCGGGTGTGCGCTCGTGTGCCCGACCCTCAAGGGGTAAAGAGAAAAGAACCAATTTAAAAAACCACTCATACACTAAATTAGGCGATGTGAGACTATTGTTTGAAGGCAAACTGCCTTTTCTCCCTCTACTGTGCACAACACAGCCAACAGAAAGCGCAAGAAACTAAGACCTGTTCTTGATAGGCTAAAATATCAGACTCAGAGATCATAACATAAACCTGCTTAAATTGATTATTTCAAACATTATTCCTGACATAAAAAATGTGAAGCCATTATTGACTTTGAGAAATCAGTAGGTAAGAAAACTATCTTTTATTAAAGGGCCACTTAAGACAAAAGAGGAAACTGATTTTGATGGCTTCGATGAAACCATAACACAAACTTGCTCTTCTCAGAGGCATACTGACATAAAATAGAATAGCCAAAACTACGTAAACTCAGTGAATAAACAAGAATTGTGAATTGGTCAAGGAATCACTTCGGTTATCCCAGTGAAGATACAATTGCACTGTTCCTTCTGTCTAAATTCGTAATGATGCAAAAAGAGACCAAAATGAATAAAACAACAAACACCATCGATGCGATAGTCTCTATATATACTTTGGTATGAATATCCTAGAATAAAGCATTAAGAACTAATGGAAGCAAAGAATAGCCAAAAGGCGAAGAAGGCTGCCAAAGGATCACTTTTTGCTTATGCAGATTCTAAGGATATATTGCTCATGATTTTGGGATCTTTGGGTTGCTTAGCAGACGGCGCAACGATGCCTCTCATCATGTTGGCTTTGGGCAGGATCACCAACAATTTGGCTGCCAATCCTTCATCCCTAACTCTTCACAGAATCAAAGAGGTTACATTCTTGTGATTCTCATTTCTGCTTTATTTAGGACAAAATGATAAATGTCCTTTCGGATTAGTAAATTAGTTCATTAGAGGCAGTGGCAGATCCACATAAACTTTCTTAGGAGGAGGACAACAAGTAGTTATTTAAGAAAAAATTAAAATAGATATATGATAAAGAAATAACATTCATGACAAATGGGTTAAATTCCCACCATAAATGGGTTAAAATTCAAATGGGGTGCAAATATCCTAAAATTATGGGGAACAAAATTTTATACTCAGAAGGGTTTAGGATGTAAATTTCCATAATCTTGGGCTGCAACTGCAGTCCAAGCTTAAATGTGCATCTACCTCTGATTACAGGCATCCAAAGTGAATTAAGAAATTATGTCATCTTTAATTGAACAACAACGTGTTAAGATACGAGAACTGTTTTCAGAAGTTTAACTTGACTGCAGTTAACAGAGTTTTCTTGGAGTGTTTGATGGACGAAAAATCGAGAATGCCATCTCAAATATTAGTTTACATTTTGAGGCTATCACATCTAAACTTCTCAAAGATAAAACATTTCAGATTTAATTTTCAGTTTTCATGTCTATCTTCCTCTGTGTAAACAGAAACCAACAATGTTGATTTAGAAGTTATATGAGCGATGGAATGATCTTATTGAAGTAAACAGTTGAAATTCTCAATGGAACAAGACAACAGACAGAAGAAAAAACTTTCTATGGACTTTGTCGAGTTCAAATAAATAAAAAAGGTTATGTTCTATTTGTTGAATAGGGATGAATCAGACTACCTTCTTAACTAATATATTCAACTTCTCTAAATACTGAATCCATGTTGTGTCTGTTACTCTGTCAGTCTACAAATAATGAAGACAAAATGGGTTTATCTTTTTATGTGTATGTGCACATCAATGTATAATTTTGTGTCTATACATACAAAGCTAGTTCTGGTACAAACCTTATGTAGCCAGCTTCCATGTACACTCAAGACTGAACCTTCATATACTGATTCATTGACAAATGGAAGTTAATCTTCCTTTTTTATTTTCCAACTGCACTTTCATTTGTACAAAATTATTGAATTATGTAATATTTATTTTTCGCCTCTTGTTCTACCTCAGGATTCGATGATTTTGATCCACATAGCTGTTGGAGTGGGTTTAGGCGCATTTTTTGGTATGGTTCATTCAATTTATTTGTTGTGTAACATATGGAAGTTAAAATAAAGAGAAATAAATTGCATTTGGCCTCCTTGGAATTTACAGAAATTCTTTTTCCCCTCTTACTTTTTCTATTTCTTTTAGGTCCCAAGAATCATACATTAACCCCCTTTACACCCACAATATATATAGAATTTCCTCAATAATCTTTGGCACATTGGGTATCACTATTGGATTAAAGATGCTAAGTAATTTATCTAATTATAAGAAATAACTACTGATGAGATGCTTATAATTCCAAACTATCATAAGCTCTTTCTCCTGTGTAGCAATATCATAAGATCATTGAGAACTCTAATCAATGAAGAGAATCTTTTTCGACTTCATGGTACTTGTGCAGAAGTAAATTACTTCAAAAGAATGGGAAAGTTCCTTTGTTAATTCTTGTCTAATATTTATCTGGTCATACATATTATTAATATTTAGAACAAGACCCAATACAGATGATACTATCTCCATTTCTGCTGCACTATTTTTGACTTCTTTGGATCAATAAAAAGTATTTGGAAATTGATACTGCGCTAGTTTTTGTTTCTCTTCGTATTTGATTGGTTCAAGTACTATTGATTACCTTGTAATATCTCCATGCGGATGATCAAATGCAACAGTCTATCCTGATCTTGGACTGGTCAAAAATTCTCAATGCACACTAAATTTTGATCCATCTTAATTTTCTTATTAACTAAATTTATTACAAATTATGTTTAAAGTAAATACTTTCTCAAGTGTTACCATGCCTATAATGTCACAGAAGGATTATGCTGGGCTTGGACTGCAGTAAGGCAAACATCTCATCTCCGAAGGGAATACTTAACAGCCATACTAAGGCAAGATGTTGGTCTCTATGACACTCAAAGTGCCACATCGACAACTTATGGAATCATCTTAAGCATCTCATCTGATACCTTAACAATCCAAGATGTCATTGCCGAGAAGGTTTTTCCCTCATATACTCTTAATTCAAAACTTAGAAAAGAAGATAATGTTCATCGATATGTCATCCTAAAACTTTGATAATTTGTTGTTTTTTACAGGTTCCAAATTTCCTCATGAACCTGTTTATGTTCCTGGTTTCTCAGCTGGCAGCACTTTACCTTTGTTGGAGACTAGCACTCGTGACATTACCAACGTTAACTTTATTAATAGCTCCTGGCATTGTATATGGCAAGCTATTAGCTGAGGTTGGCAAGAAATTTCAAGAAGCTTATCAGGCTGCTGGAGAAATTTCCGAGAAGGCACTGTCGTCGATTAAAACAGTATTTTCGTATGTTGGAGAAGAGCAAACACAAAGAAAATATGCAAAGGCTCTGGATAGGTGTCTATCAATTGGAATTAAGCAAGGGACATTGAAGGGAATGGCTATTGGAAGTGTTGGTGTGGCTTTTGCAGTTTGGTCTTTTCAAGCTTGGTATGGAAGCGTCTTGGTCACAGAGAAGGGAGCTAGAGGGGGAGATGTGTTTAATGCCGGTGTTTGCATCGTTATGGGAGGATTGTAAGTCAACCTACCTTTGTAATCATCATCATCATCAACATGATAACATAGTTTTTCAGTGTGCATATCTCTCCTGTATACTATGTAAGAATGTTGTATGTATGTTTAGTGTGCTGGTAATATACACTATCATAATTAAATCTCTTAACTCCTTGGTAAATATAAATGGCCATAAATATTTATATATCTATACTTATGAGAAAATCATGTCTTATGTCACAGGGCACTCGGGTCATCTCTAATCAACATAAAGTGCTTTGTCGAAGCAAATGCTGCCATTTCTAAGATATCTGAAATGATCGAACGAGCTCCAACCATAGATTCAAATGATATTGGAACTAAAATAACAGAATTCAGAGGTGAAATTGAGTTCAAAGATGTTGATTTTTGTTACCCATCAAGGCCAGAGACCGTAGTTCTAAGAAAATTCAGCCTTCAGATAGTTTCTGGTCAGACTGTAGGTTTAGTAGGTGGCAGTGGTTCGGGTAAATCTACAATTATATTGTTGATAGAAAGGTTTTATGTTCCAAACCAAGGTGAAATCCTTTTCGATGGAATTCACATTGAAACACTGCAGTTGAAATGGTTAAGGGATCAGATTGGGTTAGTAAGCCAAGAGCCAGTACTCTTCGCAACATCCATCAAGGAGAACATTTTGTTTGGTAAAGAGAATGCTTCAATGGAGGAGATCATTTTTGCTGCTAAAGCTGCTAATGCCCATGAATTTATTAGTCAGTTACCTGATGGATATGATTCTCACGTGAGCTCATCAAACTTTATTCAACCTTAGGTTAAATGCAGATAGACCTTCTGTAGCACATCATTCTTTCTTATGCTTTTGAGCTAATGTTTGTTTACTTCTTTCAGGTTGGTCAACTTGGAAGCCAACTATCTGGAGGACAGAAACAAAGAATTGCAATTGCAAGAGCTCTTCTTAAAAAACCTCGCATTCTTCTTCTCGATGAAGCTACAAGTGCTTTAGATTCACAATCTGAGAAGGTAGTTCAAGATACACTTGATCAGGCCTCTTTAGGACAAACAACAGTTATTGTCGCTCATCGCCTTTCAACTCTTCAAAATGCCAACCTAATAGCCGTTATGCAATCTGGGAGAATTATGGAGTCTGGAACTCATAACCAACTTCTCGAAGTAAAGGATGGTCATTATGCGGCAATGGTAAAGCTCCAAAATAGAAATCTGAAAGACAATGAAGTCACAATCCCGTCAAATGATCAGAATAACCAGCCTTTGCCAGGAGCTGAAATGTCACGAGAAGCTAACTATAATCTTTATCAAATGTGCAATAAAGAAGAAGAAGTTAAATCTTCATCACTAAAAAGCCTGATGAAAATGAGCGCGCCTGAAATGAAAGAATTTCTATTGGGTTGCGCTGGTGCAGTGTGCTTTGGAGCAATTCAGCCAATGCACTCCTACTGCATGGGTGAACTTCTCTCTATCTACTTCCTCGGTGATCACCATGATATCAAAGTAAAAACAAGGATATATTGTTTCGTTTTTCTATCTTATGCTATTCTAGCATTTATCAGTACTATTTTGCAGCACTATAATTTTTCCCTAGTAGGGGAGAAACTAACCAAGAGAGTTAGAGAATCCTTACTTGCGAAAATACTGTCTTTTGAAGCTGGATGGTTTGATGAAGAGGGAAACAGTAGTGGATCAATCTGCTCGAGATTAACATCAGAAGTTAATATTTTGCGGTCTCTTTTATGTGATCGTCTTTCTCTACTGACTCAGGTTTCATCGGCATCCATATTAGCTGCTGTTATAGGACTAATACTTTCTTGGAGACTTGCTATTGTGATTATCGCCTTGCAACCTGTCATAATTGCTTCTTTCTACACAAGAGGAGTTCTGATGAGGAATGTATCGCATAAAGTCTTGAAAGCAACGGTCAAGAGCAGTCAGTTAGCTAGCGAGGCAGTAACAAACCATAGAACCATAACTGCCTTCTGTTCTCAAGAAAAGATTTTGGCAATGTTTGATGTCACATTGAAGGACCCTCAACAAGAATGCAGAAATAGTTCATGGGTTGCTGGATTGGGCCTTTTCTTCTCACAGTTTCTCACAGCAGCTAATTCTGGTCTCGTTCTTTGGTATGGTGGGTATTTGCTCTATCACCACAAAATCAGTTACAAGCATTTATTTCAGACGTTCTTTGTTCTCGTGACAACCGGGAGAGTAATTGCAGAAGCAGGAATAATGACATCAGACATATCAAAGGGTACCGAAGCCATACAATCAATGTTTTTGATTATGAAGAGGGAAACCAAAATCGACCCAGATGACATTAATGGACTCAAGCCAGAAAGGATAGAAGGATACATTGAACTAAATGAGGTAGAATTTTCTTATCCAACAAGGACTCAGCATATAGTACTAAATGGACTTAGTTTGAAGATTGAAGCCGGGAAGACAATTGCCCTCGTTGGTCGGAGTGGATCAGGGAAATCCACAATCATCGGATTGATAGAGAGGTTTCATGATGTATCAAGAGGAACAGTGAAAATCGATGGAGTGGACATCAGAAATTACAATCTGAAAACACTCAGGTCTCATATTGCACTAGTCAGTCAAGAACCCACGCTCTTTTCTGGCAGTATCCATGATAACATATGCTACGGCAAAGAGGATGCAACTGAAGCTGAGGTTATCAGAGCTGCGATTCTCGCCAATGCACATGAATTTATAAGGTAAGTAAATATAAACCAATGTCATAGCTCATACATTCTCCATTTGTTTTGAAATTTTTTGAGAAACTAATGCATCGATTCAAATGACTGGCATCAGTTGCATGAAAGATGGCTATGGAACGAGCTGTGGAGAAAGGGGTTCACAACTATCAGGAGGGCAAAAGCAAAGGATCGCACTTGCTCGCGCTATCTTGAAGAATCCTTCGATCCTTCTATTGGATGAGGCTACAAGTGCATTGGACAACAACTCAGAAGCACTTGTGCAAGAGGCATTGGAGAAGATTATGAAACAAAGGACTAGTGTTGTTGTAGCTCATCGGTTATCGACTATAATGAAATCAGACTTGATTTATGTGATAGAGAAAGGAAGGGTTGCAGAAGTAGGAACACACTATGAGCTACTTGAAATGGGGGAGAGAGGTTCATATTGTTCTCTTGTAAGGCTTCAAGAAAATCAAAATTTTGAACAGGGCCAACGTTAGAGGTACCCTCTTTCTTAGATGTATGATTTTTTTTTCTATATATATAATTACTTGCCAATACATGTATGATTTTTTTTCCATGTAAGACAAAAATCGTAAAATTGTCATATATATCTTTCGATTTTAAGGCTCAAATATTTCCAATTTTAGTACTTCTTACGCAAACTCTTGGATATTGATCAATTGTGAGTTACGAGAGGGGTGACAGCTATGATATTTTGCGTCATTAGAACTTTCCTTTATTCATTAGAGTTTTCTTTTTCTTTCAGTGTATCNATCTATATCTATATATATATATATATATATATATATATATATATATATATTACAATATTTGTATGTATACTGAACATTATTTCTCTTTGAGGAATGTAAAAAGAGAATTTCCTTCTCTGCTCTTGGCGAGTACAATTCCGACGGACGTCCCTGTACAAATCATGAATGGTTTTCTGCTTTTCAGTGGCAAGACCCAAGTTCGGCAATAAAATGTTTTATGTGACAATTTTAGAATGTTCTGTTTTCCCTTGGACAAATTATAGGGGAACATGCCTGATGTCAGCTCTCTGGAATTCTGATGTTGTTGAAGTGGTGGACTGAAACTTTTCCTCCTGCATGTGAAGCTTCTCTACCTTGTACTTTCTTAACATATCCTAAAGCCCGGAATGAGTTTGTAATCAGAACTTTGATATCAGTTTGTTGCAGCAGTAGGCTACCCAATAAAGAAAATGCTTATACAAAGTAGAACAATAACGAAACTGAACATGGACAATAAAACCTGAACAACGAACATGAATTTATTATTGTTGATTGCTAGTTTAACTTATTCCGTGGACAAAATAGCACGAGGAAATAACTAATTAAAAGAGAATTGACTATAACGAGAAAATCATTCTTTAATCTCACTCATTCAAGCCCACAAGAACACCAGATCATGAAGAACTTAGTGGACTCTCTTCATCCTTCTCACATCACATGCTTCTTCCAAATCCTTCTTCACCACCCAAACTTTCCTTCTATAATGTATCCAATCCTAATATTGAATTAGATAAATACTGGGGCTAATGGTTTTGTGAAATAGTTGCTTAGATATCACATAGGATAGAAGAAACAAATTTTGAATATGCTTTCCATATCCAAGGCATAAAACATAAGGTGGCTTAGTAGATCTCCACTTTGACTTAAATATAAAAAATCTTCTTTCCGCAATTATTTCTATCTCAACAAATCCATGACGGCCTAAACCACCGAATGAGTGTTATTAGACCTAAGATGCAAGCCTAGAGAGGGGTGAATAGGGTTGTAATATCTCTAATTTCCTAGTGATAATAAGTCTAAGTTTTTATTTGTTTAAATCTATCTACCCTTTAAAAGAGGGAGTTCTAGAAAAAAATATCCTTACCAAAAATAGCCTTCAAGTATTGTATATATTACAAATGTATACATTCTTATCGTTTCACAGGGTTAAGAAATCGGGAGCCAAAAGCCTTCGTTCCTTTCATTTTCTACCCCGTCGGTTACGAATTCGCCTTCGGTTAGGCTTCTGCTCCGGCAACGCCGTCCCACTTTCTTAAATCATCAATTGCCAACGATGAGTATTATTATCCTTATCATCACCGCAACCTCTCTGCCATCATCTCCCAACTTCTCAGATTTTGGGCATCGATTACGATCACGAAGGAAAATTATTGACGAAGGTATGATTTCTTTCTCAGTGCTCCGACGCAGTCTTTTCCTTTGCGTCTCCACCTTTTTATTACGACAGAAGTTCGCTTCCACCGGAAATTATTTTCCTCGCCGCCTGAGGATCAAACTACAGTCATAAACTACAGAATTAAGAAATTGGGGAGGAGGATGAAGTGAAATCGAGGTCCTGACCGTTGAAATGGCGATCAGAGCGCGTGTTCCCAATCTACGCCACGGGAAACCTAAAGCTGAGCGCAAGTTCAAAGAAAGTTATTTCAGGCTTCAAGGCTTTGGTCGTTCCTATTTGGGACTCGATTCCGAGGTCCGCGATTTCTGTAAAATTTTTGGGTCGGTTGACCCCTTTTTAAGGCTTTTTATTCCCTAAAGTTTAAATTTGCCCAAAAATACCCTAGCATCTTAAGCTAGAAAGTGAAGAAAATGAATTAATGCTTTTAATTTCGGTGAATGTAGGGTCAGGTGAAGGAGGAAGAAAAGGATTTGGTGAGATATCTTTTTATTCTAGAGTATAAAAGTATGAATAGTAATATGATAATTACGCGATGCATTTTAAATGTAATTCTGAATGATAATGTAACAGGGCGTAATAAAGTCAAAAATGGTGAATTTTGGGTGCTTCTTTTTTTGGCAAATTTAAACCCCAGGGCATCAAAGTTAAAAATTGATGAAATTTTAGGGAATTGAAGGTGATTAACCATTGAATTTTGCTACTATTCATAAAAAATGACTGTTTTTTCTTTATTTTAGGCCGAGGAGACAATTTTGAGCAGCTTTTTGTAAGCAAGTGTCCTGGCTCATGATTGCTTGGAGCAAGCTTTAGGGTTTGTAGTGGCAAATAAGCTTCAGAACCCGACGCTGTTAGCGGCGCAGCTAATGGACATATTTGATAAAGTTATGATGAATGATAGAGGTATTCAATGCTCACTTTGCTTGGATGTTCAGGTGATTCTGTTACCAAAAGTGTCAGGGCGTTATATATTCGTTTTATCTCTTTTCTTGTCTCATTACAAGCATTTAAGGACCGAGATCCTGCTTGTGGATCATATAGTTGGACATTGTTGTACCTTAAGGTGTGGTTTCTTTCATTTTGAAGATTACATACTGATAAATAGCCCATGATTTTTATCAGTTCCATCGATGATTTGATTTCAATTCTCTTGTTAAATGGTGATGTGCTTACCTTCAGGGATATCATTCACTTCAGTAATATTGTGTAGCTCATTCATTGTGGAATCAGGGACGTAAAGTATTGGCATTAGCATTGCAAAGTCGAATTAGTGACGTGATTAGTTTTATTTTTTTCGCAATGCATAGCATCACTTCAACATAGTTCTGCTATCCATGTTGTGGTTTGACCTTGTGCTCCTTTTTTAGGTTTTTGCTGTTGATATACACCCAAGTATATCACCATTCCTTTCTATGAACTTGGATAGCAGGGTACCATTCACTTCAGTCATATTGTGTAGCTCATTCATTGTGGAATCAGGGATGTAAAGTATTGGCATTAGAATTGCAAAGTCGAATTAGTGACGTGATTAGTTTTTTTTTTTTTGGCAATGCATAGCATCACTTCAACATAGTTCTGCTATCCATGTTGTGGTTTGACCTTGTGCTCCTTTTTTAGGTTTTTGCTGTTGATATACACCCAGGTATGTCACCATTCCTTTCTATGAACTTGGATAGCAGGGTACCATTCACTTCAGTCATATTGTGTAGCTCATTCATTGTGGAATCAGGGACGTAAAGTATTGGCATTAGAATTGCAAAGTCGAATTAGTGACGTGATTAGTTTTTTTTTTTTTTTGGGCAATGCATAGCATCACTTTAACATAGTTCTGCTATCCATGTTGTGGTTTGACTTTGTGCTCCTTTTTTAGGTTTTTGTTGTTGATATACACCCAGGTATGTCACCATTCCTTTCTATGAACTTGTGATATAGCTAAAAAATTGCTTTATGGTGTTATCCATTTTGTTCTGGTGGATTTGCTTGCTGCATGGACATGTTGGCAAACTATGGCTATTGCAGCCCTCTGTTATCAAACTAGCACTTAATAGTTATGCTCTAGAAAACTTCAAGTTCTCATGTCTGACTTCAGATTTGTCATGTGTCAGTAGACAACTGGATTGTAACTCAGAAGATAATATCTTCATTGATAATTGTGATACATGTGTTCATGAGAGAGTTTATCCCTTTTTTAGTAGATATAATGTATGATACTTTATTGGTAATTTTAATGAAATTAGGTGCAAACTTTCTATGTTTTGTGTTACATATATTAAACATATTTTATTTTTTAGCTTCCCAAATAATTTTTATCAGATTTCTATTTTTAATAATGTGAGACAATGACATCATGTAGGACTAATTCCCTACATATGCTTGATAGCCCATGTTAATGATCTGCATATATACATGGAATATATTGCCTACACTGATTGATGTGATACTGTTGTAAATTTTTTATAAGGCTTTGATATGCTGTATGATTATGAGATATAAGATCTTTTTATTAGTCCTTTTATATACTTACTTCCATGAAAAGACATGATGATCTCCATATATTGCCTATATTTGTTAATGCACTTTCCATGTTAAGATTTTTACTTCTTTTCTTTTTTCAATTAATTACGCTCTAATTATTGTAACCTAGTTAGTTATTGCAATTTTTTGGCAAAATCCAAATGTTATGAATATATATTTGATTGATGGGTTAATTGTAGTCATTTTTTCATAGCATCTAGATGTTATGAAAATATATTTAATTGGCAAAAAGTGGTAAAGGCTTTTATGAAAATATATTTGATTGGCATATGACTATCTGCATATGCTAACTATATTAGTTGTCTTGTGCTTTGATTAGTGTCAGTAGTGAATATTCTCATTTTTATAAAGAATCTAGATTGGTGAAAATGTATTTGATTGGCAAAAAGTGGTAATACATGAAAGTTTTTTTCTCATATATTCAAAACGAGCTTTGAATGCTTTGAAGGGATCATAGTGTATGAGGCAGCAAAGGACAAGTATGCAAATGAGCTACTGCGAACAGCCACAAAATTATAGAACTTGATTACAAGAAAAGTAACTAAAGGTAGAAGAGGAGATAAAGCGCTTTTAGCCAGAAACTAAACTTGTTTTCTATATTAGCTTTAGATTTTAGGCTTGCACTATTCTATGAGCAGACTGTGTGATGTATTTTGTCCAAAAGCATTAACAAGAAAAATGAAATATTCGTGTGTAATTGCATGAAAGGGGTTCAAAAGCAATGACGAGAAAAAATAAATATTCATGTGTAATTGCG